GTTTTGGACAAGCGCAACGGTCCGTTTCTTAATCAGCGGCTCCTCTTTGGCTTGCTTGGTGGAGTGACTCACGAGAGTGCAGATGCTTACCGAGTACTGGAGACTCGTCCATTAATGACAAGGTAAGGGGCATTGCTGGTGGCGACATACTCCGGGCCCCAAAGGTCTAGAAGCAAAGGTGCTCCAGGCCTGCAGGGATCCCAATGTTTCCCTACTGCCTAGGTACCACATACTTACATAGGTAACCAGGCAGCCAGGGCTCAAGGTTGCGTGTGCCTGGATGCCTGGCACCTGGAGCCCTCCGGAAACTCTCCGGAGACCCTCTAGAAAGTCAATGAGCTGTTCCTGAGAACCCCTCATGGGTGCCCAATATGCACCCCAGGCACTTACTTCATCTGGAGCAACCACGCGGGACTCAGGTGGCAGCCTTCTGTTCTACCAGCCCCTTTACCACCTGCAGTTGCTCACACCCTCTTTTCCCCTGACGTGTCCTCAATGTCCTCGTCCCTTACTGGCTGCATCCCAATTTTTTTTACCCACACAATCCCCCGCCACAGTTCTGCCCAGGTCCCGATCATTCAGCTCACGGGTTTCCCGTTACCTTCCCTGGAACCCAACCACCCTTCCAAAAGGGGCTTGGAGAAGGCTGAGAAGCACTCTTACGTTACAGGTGAGATGGACCCACCCCTGGACCCTAGCTCATGAATGTCGTGCAGTTTTCGATTCCGAAGCGACGTCTGAACCCTTCGAATTCGCCCGGTTTCAGCCTTACTTATCCTTCATTCTGGATGTCCGGAACTTGAAAACATGGCCTCAGGAGGCGACACCATGACAGGAAGCATGGTCAATTGCCGCAGTCGTCAAGAATTTGGGGGACAAATCACGAGCGAAAATGCTTGCCTCAACAATGGATTGGTGGACTGAAAATGGAGTTCCCTGCTGTGTAACACATGGGCGCTTGCTGAAATCTCCCAATGATACCTTTCTCGGAGAAAGAAATACGAGCTCTGCTGGGTACAGAACAACCCTCCCTTGTCTTTGCGGGACGTCATGTGCGCTTGTCGGAATACGGAGCCGCAACAGCTGGTGAGCAGGATCGGTGGCTTCTCCAGCTGTCGTTAAGGACATCTTTACCGACCACAATGCTTGCAGCGCGCCCATTGACTCTTGCTCCTCCCTGGATCCAGATCCGGTATCCTTCATTCAAGGCGTCGCAGTCACCCCAGGACAAACCACCCCTTTTCACAGTCCACCAGTCAAAGCCCTGTTCCTGAGTGTGTAGGGAAAGCCGCCTTCTACCCTGCCGTTGCGAGCATTTCGCTCGAAGTGGAAAGGTGTCAGTGGCGCCTTGGATACATACCCCATTGATCCTCCTTGCCGTGGCAGGGGGCCCACGGCTGAGAGTGCTCGACAACACCCCCTCAATACGAGAGTGCTGTGAAATCGGGCAAAGGCTGGACGAATGACCAGCATAGACTTTTCTCAAACCTTCCTTTCCCCCCCCTTCAATGCACGACCACGATGGGTCTACTACGTGGCGTACATGTGGTGGTGGGCAGCTCGTTGAAAGCGGAGTGAGGCTCAACTCGCAAAAGTATCTGCGCTCACCACCCCCCATGAATTTCTGTAATTGACCCCGTATCTCGCTTTCCCTTCTCACGTTCAAATCCTCCTCCCTCATCCTCTGCCTGGTAGGCCTGGAAACATTCTCTCTTTTTCTGATTGCTAAGACGGTGCTTTGTGGGTTGCTTCCACTCTTTTCAGCGCGTTGGATATCTGATACTCGACCTGTCGACCATCGCCCTCATTTCGACCAGTTCTGCGCCGGCGCAGCCCTATCCAGTCATTCCCACCTTCCCTGCAAAAGAGATACGTTCTTTGTGATCGCGGTCAACGTCTGCAATGGATCATATCTCGAACAATCATTCCTACATGCACTACCAATCCTGTCCTCCGGGCGCCTTTGGTGGCGCCTCGTTTCCGTCCCAATTCACCAATTTCAGTCTGAACACATTCAATGGTGATGAAGAGGTCACACAAGGCTCAGATATTGTCAAAAATGTTCAGTTGCTGCTCGATGCAGGCCTGGACCTGCGCACAATTTTCAAACTGCGGCAAATCAGATATCGAAATGCCCTGAACATACTAGCCGACGCAGAAGACGACGAGCTTTATACCACGTGCGAACATGCTGGGCTTACGCAGCCCCGACAACTACCTCAGCAGATCAGAGCGCGACTGTCACAAGGCTCATCTATCTACCCTCACTCCCGAGTCCCCAGCCTGTATTCTGATCGATCCGGCCTCCGGTCTTCTGGCATCCTCAGCACACCTGTCCAAGATCTTCCCCCCTCCAGACTTGGGTATGCTAGTGATATGTCACCCATGGCTACACAGTGGGCCTGGGGAGATGAGATGTCTTGTGTATCTACCAAGTGGACTCAGGACTCAACCATGGACCATTTGACAAATGGCGAGGAACAACAACAGAGTTATCCACAGGATTCACCATGCGTCAACGATGTGGGCGCCGCGTACTCGCAGCGGCAGTATGGCATCTCGGCTGCCATGCCAGCCACATTCGAGTTACCTTTCCAGGCCCCGGCTACAAATGGCTCTATCCCACCGGTTGGAGGTGAACAAGGCTTTGCATCCACGGAAACTGCGATGCGAGCCCCCTTTATCGCCGAACAAAACCCAACACGGGACCAGAGCAGGGTGAAAAAGTCTAGATTTCCGTGTCCAGTGCAAGATTGTCAGAAGGATTTCTCCAGCCCCAAAGAATTTGCAAAACACTTGATCGGAGACCACGACAGGGACTCCAAGTTCAGCTGCAACCATCTCAACTGCGCATTTTGGTCACATCGCCTCGCGTCCTGCAAAAGACATCACAGTAAGGCCCACAGCGATTGCCAAGTGACTGAGGATTGCACACACGTCGACCGCCTGAGAGTCAAGAAACACTGGGCCTGCGGCTTGTGCCTCAATTTGGAGGTTGGCGTGCATGAATTTGCCACCCACTACAAGAGCCATTTCGAATACGACGACATCCAGAAGAGCGACATCCGCGTCTCCAACATTATCCGCAGCCTGCTCATGCAGGATGCCACCATGGGCAAATGGGAGAGGCTCAACGTTGACGGGTATTATCCGCTCTCCTGGGACGGAAAAGACGTGGCAGAAATCCGCGAAGCACTCGAGTACGAAACCTACAGGGCGTCCACTTTCGATGTGCCCGGTGTCGTCGACAGACTTCTCGAGGAGGTGATTGCTTGTGGCACCCACAGTGTGTGAGGCTATGCCATCCTGCGCATCTCGACTCTCGCCAACAAAAGACAATGCCGTACAGATGACATTGTTCAAGAGTCCGTCCCTGCCATTGTCATCTCCAGCCGTCGCTCGACGGGTGTGGCCCCGGCCACTCAGCAGTGACGGCATTTACTTCTCTGTCGTCCCTTCCCACACCACTGTATTGCTAGCAGGCACCCTATTTCCTTTTAATCTGCCTGCCGATTCTATCCCTGGCTCGCAAAGAGCTTTACCAAGAGATACACTCCAAGCTGGATCTTGGAGAGAGAGAGAAAAAAAAAAAGAGAAGAGATGATGGCCAAACGGTTATAGAAGGGGAGGACGAATTATATATACCCTGGGTGCTTGTTTCTTGTCTTGTGTGTTTTGTCATGTATTATTATCATCACCCCCTTTTCCTACCGTCGATATCATCATCGTCACCATCACCATTACCATCACCGCCACGACGGCTATCACCGATGGACATATTGTCTAGTTATTATTCATGGTGTTTACTCAGTCACCTTTTGTATCCCCCCTTCCCCGTACCCATACCCACATCTCACACCGGAGCTCCAGAGTTCCGTTCCCTTTCCCTTCCCCCTGTGCCCCAACAAACCCCATGACACCCAGGTTTTATTTCTGTTTCTGTTTGCAAAGAGCGCGGCGTTTACGTTTCCCAGGAGGTCTCTGGTTCTCTGGTGGCCATGTATGTATCTACGTATAATGCGTTATGTGTTATGCATTATGTATTTATGTGTGCGTGCATGGATGCATGGGAATCGAGCGTCGTCGTGGGCCAGGAAGCCCTAGCCAGCCGGCCGGCCAGCTGGTGTTTTAATCCATGACACATGATCCATGATCCATGATCCGTGATGAATGATACATGATACATGATACATATTACTTTCAAGCGATCTATCAACAGACCGGTCAAGCGAGCTCTCGCTGGCTCTGTCTGGCTCTGTCTGGCTCTGGTTCTAGCTACATAGCTTGGTTCTCTGTCCTTGTCCGTCTTTTCTTTTTTTTTTTCTCTCTTTCTTATGACCGACGCTGGTAGAGAAGAAGGAGAAGAAGCCCCAGCCTCGACAATAGATAGAGAGCGATAGGCTCCAAGAGATATCTACCCAAGTAGGGTACATGGACAGACACATAACCACGACCTCTCCCATGCTCCAGGGCCGTGAGCCATGGACATAAAGAGAAACGAATGTATTTAGTGAACAACGAACGGCGCGTTGAAGCTTAAAGGGCTCAAGAGCCAAATGAAGAATGAAGAATGAAGGATGGTGATAGTACTACAATTAATAATTACTACAAGTACATCCGTATTAATACCTAGAGTGTAATACACTGTCCCCCCTCCAGAATCCTTGCACTGGAACAAAGAGCATGAATGTAGGTCGCCGCCGCTGCCGGGTCATCCTCAATCCCGTGGCCTCGGTGTGTGTGTGTGAGAATGTGTAGGAGGGGTTTCACCCTGGTTGTCCTCATGTGCTGCCTCCTCTGGAGAGGAAGGGCGAGATGGTGACGGACAGCATGTTGCTGATTGTTGCATCGTCCTAGATCTCTGCACCCTTCCATGATTGCCTCGGCCAGGAGAGTCATGTGTCGTCTACCAAACCATGGGCGTCTGGCAGAGGTGTTGAGGCTGTGATTTCACTTCTGGTCATGTCAACGAAATTGATATCGTGGTGGTGGAGTGTGACTTAATTCTTATCCGGGGCTTCAGTGGGACCCGAATCTGGCTCCGCGGCTCGCTGCTCCGCCGTGGTTGTTGAGGTCGAGTTTGGCTCCTTCGTTGTTGGTCCTTCAGACGTCGGATGGGTTGGCTCCGCAGCGGTTTCACCTGAAAGTCCCGGCGCTGTCGCAGGGGCTTCGCGAGAACTCGTACCAGACTGGCGTTCCGCTACTGAAGAAAGAGGAGTTTGAGGCGCGGATTGCGTCCCAACGCGGGGTTCGACGCGGGATCCAGAGCTTGAACCAGGTGTTGCGGGAGACTGAGGAGGACCAAGGTGTGACCTTATCCTCGTAGTAAGAGAGTCCAGCGGGTCTAAAGGATTGGGAACGAAGCCGTACGCCGGAGGTGGGTTTGATCGAGGCCGTTGCTGTGAAGGTGGAGGCAGAGATTGCGGCGGTGGATAGTGGTATGCATGAGGGTGCGTTGCAGCCGGAGCGCTTCCTGGGGCATGGTTAGGGTACGAGAGACCGGGTTGACCGGGTGGAGGATAAGGATAAGGGTATGGAGGAGGACCGTAGTTCCACTGCACAGAGTGGGAAGGGTGTTGGAACTGCGGGGGAGGGAAGTATGCGTGAGGCGGAGGCGGTGGAGGAGGAGGTGGTGGTCGAGGAGGATAAAGTGTGGCTGGAGCGGGAGGCAGAGGCCCCTGTTGTCCTTGATATTGTAGAGGAGTCAGTTGACCCGGCTCTGCCAGCCCTCTTTCCTGGCGTTGTTCGAGATCGCGAATTTTTTGTTCAGCTTGCTCTAGTCTAGCGCGTAGCTCTAATTCGGTCGAAGATACTGGCGTCACTGTTTGGCCGCTGCTCTGTGGCATCGCAGGTGGCATCGCAGGTGGCGAAGCTGCCGCAGCGGCAAGGGGTGCTGGCGCTACAGGAGCCTCGCTCGCAACTGGGGCCTTCTTTCTGGAGCGTCGCTTTCCTTTCTGTGAGTCCACAAGGGTCCAAGTAAATGTACCGGGGATCACTTTCTTCTTGCGGTTACTTCCGTCACCGGAGGTTGGAGTATTGGCGGAGTCGACTTTGACGGTCGGTGCTTCTGAGCTATCTGGCTCAGCTCTATCTTCATCAACCCTGCCAAGGAAATCAAACAAGGGTGCCAGACTGTTCTCCCGGGGTAGCGTAGTCGACTCTTCGTCCACATGCGCGACCGGCTCGGCAGCAGGTTTCTTGGGTATCGGCGGTTTAGGTGCACTTGACTTTCTCCTTTTGGGTCTCACGAGCTTTTCAGGATGAAATATTTCCAGGAGACGTTTGCGTTTCGATCCATTCCGCGGATTTGGGGCTCGTTCTTCGAAGGTCTTGTGGAGGGGAATGTGCTTGTAATGAAGTTCCAGACTGTCCTTTGTTACGGAGAATTTGACAGAGATCAAGCCATGACAGTCGTACACCGGTTTGCGAACCTTGACACCGGCCTTCATCTTGGAGACGCCTTCATTAGCAGCGCGACCTTTGTTGAGCACCGAGTCGTTGCAGTCTGGCGTCTAATTAGCGATGGAAATCATGTGCCACAAAGGAGGAATTTTGCAGCAAGAGCTGCTTTGCAAGGTAACCCACAGTATGAAAACCTGCTCGCTTGATCCTCTCGACTGATCCAATGATTGTGGAAGCTGTAACGATATCCATCTACGTTTTGACATGCTTCAACGAGGGTCTTGCTGATCCCTTTCTGCATGATTGCACGTTCCTTAGGATCTTTGATCGTGTGCAGAGCATCAACGACAGTTATTGCGGTCTTGTTGAAAGGACTGTAGATGTATGGCGTCTTCTTATCGTTCAGATCTCCTTTGTTGGTGGCCTCCCTCGCAGCTACCATGAATGCAGCAGTGACCGGAAAGTCAAACTCCAGCGTAGTGTGCTCGCGGTCAATGGCCGGATCTGCCAATTGCTGCTTGAGCGCGGCCTCGAGATCTTCCAGTCTTTGACAACTGATCATTATCGACTTTGCCAATGGATCTTTTGCATGACGACCCTACCGATCCTATTAGACCGGACTGACTGGGCCGAGCCCGATACCGGGGGGTCACGTCGATGGTAACGACATCTCGGCCTGGACCACTTACGCGTGGGCGCCTGGGGCGCATTTTGCCGTTGCTGCCCGGCACCATGCCGACTACACCATGTGAAACATCTTCGCAGGTGTTGTCTGTATTACCTTCCTGCGACTGGTGCGATTCGGTAGGAGTATCGTCTGGCGGACCAAGGGTTTCTGGTGTTTCCATCGCGATGATGGGCTGTACAGTACCGTGTACCGCGGATGATGATGAACATGAATTAAGTGTCTTTTGCAAGGCAGAATGAGACAAGTTGGGGGATCGCGAGGATTTCCCTGATTCGAAAAACCCCTGCCAAGACCGTAGTTCGATTGTGGCCATTGGCTCTTTTTCTCACCGCATTGAATGTGTACCTATTCGTTATGCACCACTGCGATCACAACCTCCCCATTTCAAACACCTCTATATGTTGAGGAGGGTGATTTCTGTACTGCCGAGGCCCCAGATCCACTCAGAGCACATATCGAGATCCTTCTTCCAATATACACATCGTGGTGCGGCAATGTCTACCTCTGCGCCCTCAGGCGAGCCCCGGCCCATTGTATTCTCTGGGCCCTCGGGCACTGGCAAAAGTACTCTGATAAAGCGACTGTTCGCGAAACATCCCGACCTCTTCGGCTTCAGTGTCTCACATACCACTCGAAAGCCCCGACCAGGCGAGGAGGATGGCGTCCACTACCACTTCATAACCCCCGAAAAGTTCGAGTCAATGATTGCAGACAATGCATTTGAGGAACATGCGAAATTTGGAGGGAACTACTACGGCTCCTCGAAGAAGGCTGTTCAAGACGTCGCCGAAGGGAAAGGCAAGAGCATTGATGGCAGCACAGCTCCCGGCAAGAGAATATGTATCTTTGACATCGAGATGGAAGGCGTCAAGCAGTTGAAGAAGAGCCAGTTGAACCCAAGGATATGCTTTATTCAACCGCCCAGTATTGAGGTTCTGGAGCAGAGACTTCGAGGCCGCGGCGATACGACCGACGATGCAATCCAAAAGCGTCTAGCTCAGGCCAGACATGAGATCGAGTATTGTAAGACCGAGGGCAAAAACGACAAGGTCATCATCAACGACGATCTGGATGCCACGTTCCAGGAACTTGACGAATGGGTGATGAAAGAACTTGGTACAGAAGCCTCGAGGTGATTCACCAAGCAGCAATGGAGCGAAAATAGAATATCGGTGCGCGGAGTTACGGTCCAGAAATTACGGCGATGAACAGTCATGAGAATTACTTTATACCCCAGCTCAAAGACGAAAGGCCCGCTCTCTGCATAGACGCTACATTAGAATAAAGTTTCAGGCGACAAGAAAAGGATATGGCAATCGCTCAAGCTCAACCATTGCTTTTGTCAAATCCATCCCCATCCCCATCCCCTTGCTTGACTGCTTCATATGTGCAAATCCCCTAATATCCGTTCATGGTCACGCGCTGCGAACCCCTGCTCAATTCACGGTCAGCGGCAGGGCTGATTGGTCTGCTGCCAGCCATGCCACTTGCAGCACTGCTCTCCTTCAATGCCAGCAATTGTTTGGCTCTGAAGGTCTCGTAATGGATCTGGCTGGTGGTCTCGATGAGGTCTTGGAGGTGAGTTCGGGTAAGGAAGTTCCGAAGGTACACGAATTCGCAGTGGTTCTCATCCTCGACGTTGATGATGCCCCATTTGTTTTGTCGACCGCGAACTTGCTTGCCATTAACAATGATTGACTTCTCACTGCCGACAACTGCAAAGGGGATAATGTCCTTGATTGTGGCGTTGGTTGCTCTTTCCTCATCGTCCAGCTCTTCGTTGTCATACGGATACATCTTGAGGTTGTGGAAAGCAAACTCCTCCTTGATCCGCTCCTTGAACGCCCTGCGCTCTTCAAGTGTGAGGGAATCGGCTTTCGCAATGACAGGAACCACGTTGACGACGTCGGAGAGTTTCTTCAGCACCACAATGTCAATCGGCTTCAGCGCATGGCCGGAGGGTTGGATGAAGAAGAGGCAACAGTGGATGCGGGTGTCCTGAATGTAGCGTTCTCGCTGGGCAGTGAGTTCTTTTCGCAGGTAGGCAGAGTGTTGGTCTTTGATGTATTTCACAATAGGATCCCAGCTAGACAACAGTCAGTCCCATGGTTCAAAGCCATCGCCAAACATGACAATTTCGTAACACCTACCAGCGATCGTTGTTAACCAAATCACCATAGCCAGGGGTGTCGACAATGTTCAGCCGTAGTCTCACGCCGTTCTCTTCAATGACTACAGAAGTGGTCAGTGACACGTTTCCACACACCTAAGAGACGATTGACTGACTGTGCGACACGGTCTGGATTTCAGTAGTGGAGCGTGTTGGTTCATCGGGTCGAAGTCGGCCTTTAGAATCTATGAGGTGGCTCGCGAAGATGGTGTTGATTAGGGTCGATTTTCCGAGTCCAGTCTGGCCTAAGCAGAGTGAGTGTTTGAGCCTCAGAGAATGTCTTAAGAGCCTTACCAACACAGATGACGTTGAATTGGAAACCTCTCTTCAACAACTTCTTCTCAATTTGTTGGGTGATAGAGTCGAAGCCCACATGTGAACGTGGGAACACCGCGTTCGGTTGGTTCATAGCCATGGTCATCGTGTCTGTTCGATGATGCAGAGGTCAAGGATATCAATGCGATGAACGAGACAAGTTTGTGTTAACACACAGTTGAAGACAAGAGAATCGCAGGATATGGCTTGTGCACGAGAAAAGAAGGAGTTGCGACTGCCTGCGACGAAACAATTTCCCCAGACGATCTTGCCAGCATTGAAAGAAGGACCCCCTTTTTGTCTCGTGCCAAGGAGACAAGGGGCGTTCACTTCAAGAAAGCTAAACGGTGGTGTACGTTCCGTGCCGCTGCTTTATTGGGTGTCCCTGACTAGCCAGTTTCTAACTATGAAAAGCTAGCGCGCTGGATGCGAAGCTCGTTGCAGAAAGATTCTTAAGAACATTGTTCCACATAGCTCATTAGAGAGAGCAGCAACGCCGCAAATATGGCACTGGCTGCTGCATTGAGCGGCTCTCAATTGTCACAAATCGCCCTGCGGAGGAGTCCAGCTGTACTTTCCGTGTCGGTACAATCATGGCCATTCTCTAACATCCTCTCCGCATCCGTCGCAATACCCTCAATCGCGACAAGCATCCCTGGCTTCCTCTCAGACATCTGGGAGGGGATCTTGAGGGCAGTGCCAAAGAAGAAGACGTCGCATATGAAAAAGAGACATCGACAACTCGCGGGAAAGGCTTTGAAGGATGTAAAGGCAGTCAACCAATGCCCCGGCTGCGGGAGACCCAAAAAGGCCCATACGTTGTGCCCATATTGTGTTGCGGGTCAGTATAATATACATGAATATGGTCACTCACGCTGATTGAGGCTGCAGAGATCTATGAGAGTTGGAAACACCGAGATGCAGAAGCGAGCGGAACAGCCAAATCAACAGAGGGAGCCAAAAGTTGAGGGACTGAAATACAATTTCCGGACGGAGAAAGAGGAGGACAATGCATATTACACAAATGGATCTGCTGAGGCAAATATACCACTGGCTCTTCATTCCCGCGGAGGGACAGCATCCCAGATCCTGAGATGCATTGTTACATCGCCTTCCTTCCCATGACTTCCCGACCAGATGCCACCAAGGATGTACCATTGATGTGAATAGCATCAGGCGATGGATATTCACAACGACTTGGGCAACCAGACGGAAGTATGGGTTAAGCGGGATGAAGATCGACCAAAGACAGAACACGACCCAGGCACAGCGCGCATCTTCAGTCAGTCGGGAGCCCCTAGGGATGGCGTTTAGCAGAGCCCAGGTGATGGAGATATGGTCCAGGATGATTCTACCACTTGGGGATGTGCAGTCTGGGTAAAGGAATAAGGGCTATCTGGCCTGTGTGCACACTGTCACACTGTTCAACAATAAACTGGAGGGGTGCGGAGCATTGTAAAACTACGTCATTTCAAAAATAATTTATACCGCAGCCAAAACACAAGCCAATTCAATCTGCTTCATCCGATTCAGATAGGTTTGACCCTCTTGCCCATGTAATCCCGATTGGCTTGTCTCACTCAACTTGCCGTATGATGTATCGACGCAGTCGAAATGGTCTGTAATCCAATTGTATCTGTGTATGCGGTCGCGGTCGCTGACATAGCCTCAGTCGAAACAATATCTTGCTCTCCATTCGATCGATGAAGGTAACGGCAACCTCCACAACACCTTCTTATTCTGCAACCAAGTTAACCTTGTGCAGCCCATACCACAGATATCTTTGCCCTCGCTGTAACTCAAACGCAAATCCTTACAGGTTCGGGCGAGAACTCGATCAAAATCTATTCTGCCACCGAGGAAGGCTTTCCCATTGCTCAGATTCTCTCAGACGCCCATAAAGTCGGGTGTCACCATATCAGCACAGACCGCAGCACCGGCACGAGAGCTGTCAGTGTTGGCTTTGGAGGTGAGGTCAGAATATGGAAATACGAGGAGGGCAAGTGGCAGGACGATGGAGCATTCGACGTCGGGTCAAAGAAGAAAACAGGAGAGATTTGGGCGGTGTCTTTGTCATCTGACGGAAAGTTTGTCGCTGGCACAACCCACGATGGGCGAGTGAATGTATGGGATCTAGCAAGTCGGGAAAAGATCCGAGAATTCGAGACTAAGGGGAGTTTTGGGATGTCTGTGGACGTGGTAAGAATCCCCTTCATCTATCGAGCGTGGCGTTGACCGGTCAACGGAGAATAAACTGACACTTTCCGTTTTCCTTGAAAAAACAGTCGCCCGATGGCCGATTCATTGCCAGTGGCCACGAGTCCGGAGCGATCTACCTGTTCTCTACGGCTACGTCTCGCCTACTGCACTCACTCCCCGGACTCATCAAACCCGTCCGCGCCGTCAAGTTCTCTCCTGGATCTACTCTTCTTGCAGCAGCTGGCGACGCACGAATAATCTCCCTTTACGATTCCACTTCAGGCGAGCAAATTGCCAACCTCAGTGGCCATGCAGCTTGGATCACAGATCTTGATTGGAATCACAGCGGCCAGTATGTCTTGAGCGGGAGTCTGGATGGCAAGGTCAAGGTGTGGGATATCGAGCGAAGAACTTGTGTTGCGACACATGGCGAGAGTGAAAAGGGTCTGTGGTGTGTCAAGTGGCAACCTAAGGGTGAGACCAGTGTTCAGCGACAGAAGGCTGAGAGGTTTGTTACTGTGGGGAGCAACAAGGCCGTTGCTATCTACCGGGAAGCTACCGGTGGATGAAGATATTGGTCGGCGAGCAACCCAGAAAATATCTACCGGCAGGGTCGATGATACTAGCCACTCGCGACGCCAATGAGTGAGCGACCATCGGTGTTCAATGCACAGAACATCTGCTGAGACGAGAATGGAGGCATCGTGTCCAGTACTTGCAGCTATCAGAACGGTCTTGCCACTCGGTGGTAATCTGCCAGACAAGGGTGAAAAAGTCAAATCCTAGAATACAGGAGCTTGCGCAGTCGACGGGACTACACTGTCCAATATCTGCCGAGTTCGTGGAAACGGTTGCATCTCACCCTAGGAAGATTGGCAAAATGGAAGGCGATCAGATATTCATTGTTTTCAGAAGAGCCGGACGTGCTGCCTTGATCGTATCTGTCTTTCATCGTCAATAGAGCTGGACGTTGCCCTTCCAACACTGACGACGAGGCTGCAGCACTCAGCCTTGCCAAGAAAATTCCAGCCTTGCAGCAACTCCACCCAGCAAAATCATTTCAACCCAGCCTTTTAGCTCATTCAATTTTCTTTCTTCACATATTAGTCCACGGCACTCAATATACCCCTGTTGAATGCACCTTCGCTCCCGTTGCGTCCACACATTTTCGAGCTGCCAAGATTATACAAGAATGCCTTTCTAATCCAACTTCGCTTTATTCTCGCCAGAAGTCTGGCAGAATCGTGGTGGTGAATTGGTTCGCTTTTTGGCTGACAATATATCAACCTCAAACCCACTAAAGAACCTACTGCCTCACCCTCTAATAGTCTCGCCAAGTGCGATTCAAAGATGCAGTCAATAAAACTTCCCTTTTATCTTCCTCGCCGATCTCCTTCTCTTCTTTCCTTCTTCCCTCGGACCTCCCCCTGTCGCCACTTCGGTCCTCTCCTCGGGAACAACCTGAGCTGGTAACATATATATACACTCATTCCTTCCCTGTCCCCTGCACTTGCACATGGTTCCGCGGGCTCATTCAAATTTTGGTCAATTCGACATCTCGACCTCAAACTGCGCGTCATCAGTGAATTGAGGCAAGGTGAGGTGGTGAGTAAGACCCGGCACTTTCGAAGCTTCATCCTGCTCCACCTCTTCTGGTTACCCCATAGCGGATGTTGTCAAAATCATGCCGAGATTGATAACCACTACTCAAAAGAGAGTTCTCTGGTATCGTGTTACACTTTGATTTGTGCCTGTGCTGGGATAACCTACCTTTCTGGCCGGGCAAGATAGATCTGAGTGCGTCAAATGAGGAGAGACATACCCTTTTACAAAGATAGGACGGTCGGTTTCGCCATTTGAGCGCGACTAGAGAGCAATGAGGATTTGGGAAACCTCGAAGGCTTGGGTTAACGGATATGCCGTACGGGGTTTGGCACAAGCATCATGTGTCTATACAACTGAAAGCATTTCATTTGCTTCTGTCTTTTGTTTTTAGTAGCCTGTACTGATACATTTAGCCGTCCCAGCCAGTGTCAAAATATCCGATGCCGTGACCTCCAGTATATATCGCTTCCCTATCATCTCAACATCCATCCGTGAATACAAAGATGAAAAACCAATTAAAGTTGCAGGGCGTTTTTAACAATGTCCTCCACTGTCCCCGCCACACGACATTCAATTCCAATTCAAACACTTCCGTCGTGATGATACCATACTCGGTCGTCATCGAATTTCGTGTCAAGAGCTCCATACGTTATTGCAGGGTTATGCCACAGACAAGTCCTCATCTGTCTTCAGATCTCTGCAATATGTGTGGTGCATTCTCCCTACTTTGCGCAAAGCTCTGGGCGAGCTAATCCATCTCTTTTCATAGCTCTTTCCTCTTCTCGTCCTCTTCTCTTCGTTTGCCAAAACCATAGGCAAGACCTCCGCCTACCAAATTCACCAGACACAATCCCATCGTGGCACCTCGAATGATGCCTCTTGCGCCGAACTTATTCATGAGGCCCATTCTCCTCCTTCCAGCTAACACAAGGTAGGTACCACTGAGCGCAGCTGTCGTCCCCGCACTATCGATCTTGAATCCTTGGAGGTTAAGGTAGGTCGAGAAGAGTAATAAGGGAGGGAACAGCATGGGAAGAGGTTGGAAAGGCCGAGCATGTTGTGCGAAGACGAGGGTAGCAAGAAGAGCTGGGGGAACAGGATTCTCTGTTAGGAGCGTAAGCAGGTAGACTGGAGCAGAGTCAATCGCAATGCGAACGTTGCAGCGTGGTGTGGTTACAGACCTCCCCATTTTTTGGCAGTGATGATGAGAGACTCTTTGGCCTCTTCTTGTTTTTGAGGGTCAGCCATGTTAAACTTCTATAATACTGAGCGGGATCCTCAGCGCATTTCGTTTGAAAATCAAAGGGTTGATTGTGCAACCTCAAACTGAAGGAGAGCTTGGGTGTAGGTTGGACGTCATTTCAGGGCTGGTATGTTTTCGGCAACAGCGCCTCTAGTCACTTGCAACCCACCCACCGTTATTCGGCGCGGGCTTGGGATCTCGTTTTTGAACACCTTTGCTACAAAAAGTTACACCCCGCCAAAAGTCAAACGAACGTCCCAAGGCCTGATCAGAATATCTTTTCTGATTCTTTGCAACTCCCTTCCCCAAGAAAGACTGCGTGCGATCCCCCAGGCCTCTTTATCCTGCGGCATGTCCGCAACAGCTTCGGGCTCCAACGCGAGGCCAAACGGGTCTGCGACTTCACGAGAACACAATCAAGGAAACCAGGAGCGAAAATGGACTCCGCAACAGAAGGCCGAAGTGATAAGGATACGGAGATGTAGTCCTACGGCTTTCTACGAGATTCTTGCGGTTGAGAAAACCGCAAGCGACGGAGAGATCAAGAAGGCGTACCGCAAAATCAGTCTATTGACGCATCCGGATAAAAATGGGTATGAAGGTGCCGATGAGGCATTCAAGAGTGAGGATCAGAATATTTCCATTGTGCTGAAGACTACGATGCTGATGATGATCAGTGGTATCGCGGGCATTCCAAATCCTATCAGATGCCGAGAAGAAGTCGAGATATGATCAGTTTGGTGGTGATCCTGATAACCGCTTTTCTAGCAGTGGTGCTGCGGGCGCAGGAGCCAGTCCTTTCAGTGGCTTTGCGAGAGCGCCTGGGAGAGGACCAATGTATGAAGATGAGATATCGCCAGAGGAACTGTTCAACAGGTTCTTCGGTGGGGGCTTGGGACCTGGCTTCCAATTTGGTAAGACATCCTGCGAGCATTGAATTATGTTGTGCGAATTGTGCTGATCTGCGAAGGAGGTGGCGGCTTCGGTGGCCCTCAATTCGTCTTCAATATGGGCGGGGGTCCTGGTTTTACAGTACATCCCATGGGCGGCACCAGACCGCGAGGGAGACCGAGAAACGCGTCGGAAACTGCGCCTTCAGGATTGTCAGCGCTCACACAACTGTTACCACTGCTCCTACTTTTTATTCTTCCACTGCTATCATCATTCTTCTCCGGATCATCCAACTCAGGGCCACATGTCCGATACGATTCCCCGGTTCCACCACACACGATGCACAGGGTGACGCCCAGGTACCACATCGATTATTTCTTGAATCCCGCGGAGGTGGAAGGATACACATCCAGACAATTCAGCTCATTGGATCAACGGGCAGAAGTGGATTATGTTTCGACCTTGAAGTATCAATGCGAGAGCGAAGTACAACGGCAGCGACACGAGATCAATGAAGCCACGGGTCTCTTCTTTACAGACGAGAACAGGTTAAAGAGGGCCAGGGAAATGGCAATGCCCGGCTGCCGCCGGTTGGACGAGTTGAAAGTAACCCGGCAATACTAGTTGAGGAGCGGAAATGTCACATGAAGAATTGTTCGCGCTTGCTTTTGGGGGAATGTATCATTTTGTTTGGTGTTGGTGGCGCCATGTTCGCTAGGCAGACGGCAGGCTGCAAGTAGCTGGCTATATTCAAAAGATTCTTTGTTAAGGACCCGCATCCTTCATGCCACTGTACCACAGATCATCTTCTCCAACCAGGAGTACAATCAGGCACCAGCTTTAGGTAGCAAAGTGCTGAAGAGCCTTGGAGTAGTCCCCAGGCCCTCACCCAGCCCTCGTGGCAGCACCTACGTGTCCGAGTAGCAAGGCAGCAAACTGACTTGTCACGCTTGTGCGGGGGCGGCCATACCCCGGGCACCACCGGTGGCAGTTGTTCCGAACCACTGATTCTAGTCTTTTCTAAACACCGTCGACGTCAACTTGAACCCCAAATTGTCGGCCTTCGCGAAACCTCGTGTGAACCTCGCGCGCAAGACTTTTGTTATCTATACCCACCGTAGCCATGGCGGATCCTTCTATGGACTCAGATAAGGTGCGTGAGATGCTCACGCATCAGGGTCTTCTAACATCGATTAGATCCGCAACAAGAGGCTCGCGAAATTGCAGCAGTCACAGCCGCCGCCGCAGTCGCAAGATGCCGTCGCCGCAGCCTCAACTCCAGCCGAAGATGGCCCTGAGTCAACGCCATCATCACAACCAGACACCCCCCAGGTGAACACAGATCCTCTTCCAACGCCGACCGGATCAACAACGCCATCTGGCACCATCACGAAGGAACCATCCCCTCCACCTACGACCCGGATACGAATCACTCCGGCAAATGTCACCCCCCAGAAGCGAGAAATGGACGGCGTGGAGAGACCAAGTTCGAGACAGAGCTCAAGACCAAATGAGACCATCGAACAGTGGGAAGACCGCACGCTGAGGAATATTTTTCGTCTCAGCTTAAACCCTGAGCAGACGAAAGATATGCACGGTCAGCAGCTCCACGTTCTGGCACAACTTAGAGAAGAGTTGGAGGCTGAAGGCAAACCATTGCTGTTGAACACCGATTTGATAGAGCAGGCCATTATGGAAGCAGGTGCAGCCCTGGGGGATTTGACTCCGCACGACTGGCTATTCGGCTGTTGGAAGAGAATCACAAGAATGAGCAAGGCTGTCAAAGATCGGACGCCCGAGAACAAGAAATGGACCATCATCTCAGAGGCTAGGAGACTCTGCATGAGCTGGTGCATATTATCCGTCACAACACCTGATGTCTTCGGCGCAGACTATGATGGCGTGGCTGCGCTCGCAGACCACCTTCTCGCTGATCCAGACGAGGATGCAGGCGTTTGTCATGATTTCCTTACAGAAGTCATCACGAGGTTCGACGAGGATGAAACCATCAAGGAGGCATTTGTCGGCGCGGTTGAGAATCTGAGCCGGCGTCTTGCCAAACTGACCATGGACTCTGACTATCGACGCTACACTGCCATGATTCGACACCTCATTAGATACAAACCCGTGGCCATTGCAATCACGCAATCGAAGCTGTTTGTGGATAAGTCAGTTCCAGCTGCCCAATTAGAAGTTGCTACTCTCCTTGGCCCCTTCTTTCAGCTATCGCCATTACAAGCAGAAGTGACGAAGCAGTACTTCTCTGGCCCGAAGACTATGGACCCAGGGAGGATCCGGAACTCTCAACAGTCACTTCAGATGTCGTTGAGGTCCCATCAAACTGAGCTCTTTGATATTATCAATACCCTTGTGCGAGCGTCTCCGGAAGCCCGAGAACGCGTGTTGGATTGGTTTGCTCTCGTGGTGAATGCGAATCACAAACGCCGCGCCATGCGTGTGGACAAGGCGACGGTCTCGAGTGATGGCTTCATGATCAATATCACCACGATCTTGGATCAGTTGTGTGAACCGTTCATGGATGCACAGTTCTCAAAGATGGACCGAGTCGACATTGACTATCTCCGACGGCATCCTCGGGTCGACATCAAAGAGGAAACAAAAATCAACGCTGATCAAGAGCACTCTGACGAGTTTTATAAGAATCAGCTCGAAGGCACCAACAACTTCATCTCGGAATGCTTTTTCCTCGCCGTGGCTGCTCATTATTACGGGAGCGAAGCAGCCCGAAACATGCTCAAGGACATGGACCGAGACCTGAAACACTTGGCCAAACAAATTGAGGTGTTCGAAACAGAACGACATAAATACGCCAATAACCCTGCTCAGCTGGCCATGTTCGAGAATGCACTCAAGAGGTACAAGGATCAGCACGACAAAGGCTTGTCCTACAAATATGCTGTACAAGGCGTATTGCTGGATGAAATCGCGCAGACTCGTTCGATGCAATTCATGCGTTTTGTCACTGTCTGGATTCTCCGTCAAGTCTCTCCTCACCGTCAATTTCCTAAGCAGCAATTAACGCTTCCTCTTCCAGCTGAACAACCAGAGACCTTCAAGAATCTTCCTGAGTATTTCTTGGATGTCATCAGCAGCAATTTTGGATTTATCATGTACAACATGCCTCAAGTCATATCTTCAACGCAATCGGACGAACTGATAATGCTCTGCATCACCTTTTTGCGCAATTCTGAATACATCAAAAACCCATATTTGAAAGCATCTTTGGTTACAATCCTCTTTCGAGGAACATGGTCATGGCGTCAAGGCGGAAGAGGTATACTCGCAGACCAATACAACAGCATGCCATTCGCGACAGAGCACTTGCTTCACTCATTGATGAAGTTCTTTATAGAGGCAGAGTTCATGGGCGGGCACGGCCAGTTTTTCGACAAATTCAACGTACGCTTCGAGATTTTCCAGATCATCAAGTGCATCTGGCCGAACACAGTCTACCGTGACAACCTGCTGAGGGAAGCAAAAGTCAACATGGAGTTCTTTGTGAGGTTTGTCAACCTTCTCTTGAATGACGTGACGTTCGTCTTGGACGAATCTTTTACGGCGTTCCATACAATTTATGACCTCTCGAAAGAACTCGCGCTTGCCGGAACATCGCTCGACCAGCAGCAACGACAGGACAAAGAGGAAGCTTTGGAGGCGGCAAAGAACAAAGCGAAATCATACATGCAATTGACCAATGAAACGGTGGCAATGTTGAAGCTATTCACAGAAGCCCTTGCGGACGCATTCACGATGCCCGAAATCGTCCAACGTCTTGCGGATATGTTGGACTATAATCTTGATGCGATGGTTGGACCGAAATCCACGACCCTCAAAGTCGAGAACTTGCAGGAATATAATTTCAACCCCAAGGCTTTGCTGAGCGAGATCATCGACGTCTATCTCAATCTGAGCGAACGGGAAAACTTTATCCTCGCTGTTGCACGCGACGGTCGATCATACAAGCCCGAAAACTTTATCAACGCTGGCAACGTCATGCGCAAATTTGTTCTCAAGTCACCAGAAGAGCTCAACCGGTGGCAACGACTTATCGAAAAATTTGCCAAGGCAAAGGAAGAGGATGAAGCTGCGGACGCGGACTTGGGAGAAATTCCCGACGAGTTCTTGGATCCGCTGATGTTCACACTCATGGAAGACCCTGTGAGGCTACCCGTATCAAAGATTGTTATTGACAGGAGCACAATCCGAAGCCACTTGTTGAGTGATCCTCACGATCCGTTCAACAGAGTGCCGCTGAAGATCGAGGACGTCCTTCCAGGTCAGTTTCCTTTCCAGAAACCCCTTAACGTGAAGATAAACTATAGTTGTTTCCCGCCGTTCATGATACTGACAATCGTTCACAGCGATCGATATCAAAGAGCAGATCCAGAAGTTCAAGGAGGAACGGATTGGAAGTCGGCGCAAGGACTTTGTGGAGACGGTCAAGACCGAAGCTGGCGGCACTGCCGACGGTGAGGCAATGGACCTGAGTTAGTCATTGCGACCTGTATCTTGAAGCGATAGATGGAAAACTTCGGCGGCTTGTGACTCTCGCACGAGTCGTCAAGCCAAGCCAAGTGTCGATGCATACGACACAAATGATGCGATAGATCGAATTATGAAAGCTGGCATCAACCTTGTTGCATTTTTGGTCTATCACAGGTGTACAGTGGTGACTGCACAAGATAGCAGCGGGCTATGAGGTGAAGTAAGCAACACTCCTCATAGTAATGCCCACGGACAGTTAGAGTCGCTCACCTGAGCTGCCTCTCCAATATGATTGTTGGGAGAAGAATCAGGGCAGGACCAAATTAAAGCCGCATTTAGCAGAGGTCACTCGTCACAATGATTGGCGTTATCTAGTATAGGGATACGTGCTGCACCTATTGGGCGATCACTGAGGGACGCCGTGTCAACCTTTCCTTGAAGTTGGCGGCATCCATAGAACAAACAACCCGGACACCTTGGAGTAGATCAGTCGTTGTTCATCAGGGGTTTCAGCCTCGTGCGTAAGGGAGGGGACAAGCTTCCTGAAACGGTTAGTTCAGTTTTCGGCATGCGGGCGAAACACTCCGCCTTTGGGGACATTGCCATTTCAGCTCCCCCTCTTCACAGGTCTCTTGACTCTTGATTCTTGGTCTGCAGATGAGGTTCGTATCAATAGGACCGGAAAGGTCGAAATGTATCCCTTGTTGCGCATGAATGCAGACTTCTTTCCAATCGAACTCCTCTACTTCAACGAGCATGCTAGCCGCTTGTCGTGTTTGTTCGAGCTTGGCAGTTTCTTGCAGTGTCTCGAGGCACAACGGTATGCAGTCACGTTGATGTTGTCGAGGAGTGCAAGGGGATTTGAGAACCTCGGAAACCGAGGCGGTGTCTTGCAAGATGGGATGGATATCAGTGAAGGTGGCTGTGGCTGTGGCTGTGGCTGTACTTTACCCCCGGTCCTTGCTCCTTCACAGTGAGAGAGAGTCTTTGGACTCATGGGGCATGATAACGGGTCAAAAAAAGAAGTGTCGGATGGAGTTCATGATACCTCACGAGGAGCAGTATTTCGATCCAAGTTCCCGCAAGAGAGAATGCAAATACGGCTGATACATATGACTGCTTGGATCCAAGGCCTTTGTTTTCCCTCAGAGATTTTGTCCCCCCCTTCCTGGTCCGATGAACCCACAAGCCCGATCTGAAGACCGCTGATTTCAGCTTCATGAACCAAAAACTAACCAACCGTTATACCTTCCTGAAGATGAACTTTTGAAACAGCTACCATTTCATCAAAGTAGAGAGTATCGTCGTCTGATTCACCTTCTTTTCACCAAGGTCCCCACGATGTGCGGGATCGTGCTGTAGGGATCGCACAGCTCCACGTGGACTTTGTCCCAGCCGCCGTCTCGCCGGGCCGCTCTGTGCAGGCTGGCCAGAGTGTCCCTGGTCAGCTCGCAGCCTCCCATGAGGGGGCTCCAGCCGATCGACATGTAAAAGTTTTGGAGTGCACGACCGACCGCGGTGCCGCCTTTCGCCCCGTCCCCGGAGTTGACCACGTGCTCGCAGACGACCATCCTGCCGCCGGGTTTGAGGACGCTGTAGAGCCCCTCGGTCACGGCGTCCAGGTTCGGCACCCCGCACAGCACCCGGATGCAGACGATCTCGTCGAACGGCGTGTTCTCCTGCCCGGCCCGGGTGTCGAGAACCCCGACCTTTGCGAGGGCCGGGACCAGCGATTCCAGCTTCGCTTCGCAGTTCAGCACGTGGTACTTGTCCCCCAGCCCGGCTTCTGCTGCGCGCTTTTTCAACCCGGCGTGCATGCTCACGCCCGGCTCCGCTCCGTAGATGGCTTCGACGGCCGCCGGCTCAGAAAAACGGAAGAGCTGGTGTCCAGCGCCGGGGCCCACGTCGAGGATGACACCCTTGCTCTGAGCAAGGATCGACCCGAGAGCTGCTGGCGTGTCTCTGGCGCAGATCACGCCACCTATGGCCCAAACACTAGCAAAGGCCTTTTCCTTGTACTGGGCGAAATTACTGAATAGGAGGACTGGATGAAAGATCGCTGTCTGGATATGGCCTTTTGGAAACAGTCCAGTCAGTGCACAAAACTATCTCAGGACAAGATCCTTCCGCCACATTGAGCGCGCGTCTTCTGGTTGTTAAAGGGGCACATACACATGACGCTGGCGAGCACAAATGCTCCAGGCAGAGCGTAAGACACTACCCGTTGGATGATGTTCGAAGGCTCCATATTGTTCGAGAACAGTCCCTGGTGGTATCACGTCAGCTGTTCCTTGACGGATTCTCGTGGCGGAGAGGAGAATGAAAAGACAGAGAAGAAAATCAAGGGAATAAATGAATATATTCAGGGCGTTGGGCGTCCCAGTCCATGAGGTCAACGCCTGGCCAGCGTTCGTATTGACTCTCGAATCAGTCTCTTCTTCAGCTGCCATGTCACATGCCATGAGTTGTCCCGAATACGAGGCTGCGCAGATCCCTCCCATTTCAGGGGTCCTTCCAAGGCATATTATTCGTACTTATACAAGGAAATCGGCCCAGCCACGTGTCAACGGGTCAAGAGCCCAGACTTTCGTTTCTCTTTCGACCCTGGTGTTTTGGCCTTCGATTCTCGGATTCAGAGTCTAGACCTTGGAATGGCTGGTTTTACTCCTCTTCTGCCTTGGGTTGCCATTGGGCGTCCGCACTGGATGCGTTGATGGACAGGTAATGTTCAATCTCCATGATTCTTGTTACAAAACTGACTTGCTCTCAGCTATCCCGTCCCCTCCTGAGATTCCATGATTTGTCGCGATGCGACTTTCCCCGTACCCCGTGATTGTGGAGCCGCAATGCACACGCTACGGGCTTGCTTTCATCGCCTATATTCCAGCCTCCATCCTAGCAAGTTGACTGGAAGATAAACTCAAGGTAATGTGCTGTATTTGTTCCTTTGACTCCGTCGTTAGCCTCACATGGAGATTTCTGCCCACGAGCTCAGTAGCGTCCATCGAAAATCTTCATGGACGTCCAGCCAAGAAACCTCTCCTCATTACGGGCGCCTCTGGAGAGGAAGAGGCTTCAATCTCTCCAAGATCTCTCTGCTGACCCTGAAGTCAATGTCATCATTGCGACTGGCTGGGAGAACTCAGCATGACCCATCGTGCGGCTCAAAAGGCCCACCAAACGCCAGAGGCACCACGTCGTGAGTTGGGTCGTACGAGGTCGTCTTTCTCGACGGTTCCCGCACGGCCTTGAAGAACATCGAAAAGAATAGGCAGAAGGTCTGCAGCAATGCTGGCTTCACGGATGCCGACGGACTCGCCACGGTCGTGGTGCAAATGTGTCAGGATCAAGGCGACCTCAAAGTCTCTTGGATCGAGGGAGACGAAGTGACCGACGCAGCCTTGCGAATGTTCTCCACTGAAGAAGAGTTTGCTAGCTTACCCAGCGGAACGAAGCTGTCGGACTGTGGCCACGACCCATTCTTTGCCCAGTTCTACCTGGGTGCGGTCGGCATTGGAGAGGCGTTTCAGTTTCGTGCCAACGCCAACCTCGTCCTCTGCGTACGTGTCGCCAATACTTTTGCTTGACTATTGTCATTATTCCTAGGTTGTGAGGTGTGGGCCTTGTAGCTCTCTCTTCTTTCTGAGCCTCCTTGGTTCCTTTGCTCCGGCTCCAACATTCCTTTAAACGCATCGCCGATCTTACGCCACAAAATGTCTCTGAGCCTCTCTTCAGAGCTGTGCCTCGAAGTAGCTGAGTCTCGTGGCTCAACGACATGTCTCCTTGAATGATGCTTTCTTGGGAGCTGTTGCACAGAAAGATCGTGTTCACTTCTTCGCTCCACTTCTCTATACGTCACTGACTGAGGAGTCTTCCTTGATTGTGGTTTGTGTTTGGTGTCTTGCATTGGGGGAGCGTCTCTCCGATTCCTTGCACGAATGATAACGCCTGAACTCGTGGACTGATCTGGGTAGAGAGTCGGTGATGCGCGAGTATCAATAGCAGAGATTCTCGTAGATTTACGAGCAGCAGTCGGTCTTAAACTAGTCGTACCAAAAGCAATTGCTCCATTCTGGTATTTCGCCAAGTTGTCGTAGTCAGGCATCCTGGCGTGCTTCTGGCCTTTTGATTTCAGAGATTGAAGCTTTGGACAGTGCTGTGCGTGACTGTGATCGCACTCGAAAAAGACCAAGCCTTTGCTGTGGCGACTGTGCCACTTGCAGCCTTCAATAACCCATTCATGGGCGGAGCCGGGCTCGTTGTATCTGCGACTTAGATGGCGCAAGCACGTGAATGAAATTGTTAGAATATCCAACCCACAGGGAATGGTGTCGCGATGTCTACCGACGCAGCCATCCGCGGCTTGTGACTTTGGGTCTCGGATGATCGGATCGTAGAGCCCTTCACAAAACAGGACTAGGTGAACTTCATCTACCAATGGCTTCCAGCAAACCAGGTCTTTCAATTGATGCCTCTTGAAGTTGTAAGACGGATATTCGTGGGCGATGTCGGCCAGCTCGTACCCAACCAGGTATTCCTTGAAGAAGCGCTTCAGCAAAGACCTCTGTCGCACGGTAACTTGAAGTGCTGCGTAGACAGATTGCAGATGATCCTTGACTCGGTAAGGTACTTGGACTTCACCATCTTTGCTGTTCTGTGGTTGTTTAGCTGCGAGTGGATCTTGATAAGATTTCCGTATGGCATCGAACGCAGCTAGACCTCCATTCGCCAATGCCTCACAAGGAGCAACGTGGTACTGGGACAGTTTATGTACTTTGGCTCTCACCCGTCCAATGTGGAACACGACACTGATTAACGGTACCACATATGCGCGTCCTTCCTGGATGGAGTAGACTAGCGCAGGTGTGTCGATTATGCTTTCCATGTTGCCAATGAAATCTGACATGTAGATATTCTTGCGATTGTGGGCTATCTTGTAGGTCATGCTCGCATTAAAACTGAGTAATCTCGGTGCAGAAATTGAGGCGCCGAATGTGTAACCGTCTTTCTCGTATATGTCGTTGATGGTCTCGGTATCTCCCGGGTTTGTCCAGCGAACTTTGGTGATGTCAACGTCTTTGTTATACTCGGTCCCCAGGGTGACCAGCGGTTCGGGCCAGAAGCCCAGCAAGTGATCTTTTCCAATCGTGAGGCATTCGTTGAGGTCATTGAACCTCTCGCCACCTTGAAATGATCCAGTCGGCGGAAGTTCTCCCTCTTTAAGGTCTTGGAAATGCCATTGCATGGACTCAGACGTTGGTAAATATCTCGTAGGATAGACCAACGACCGTTGGCCGTACAGCGCAAACCCGGTTTCAGTATCAACCTCGTATTCCAACCCACAGATGAAGCATAGTAAATCCCATGAGATATTTAGCCCTAATGGCGAGTTTTCGCACACAAGGTTTCGTCGGCAGTCAATGGCCACGGCGGTATTCGGGAATAATGGGAGCCAGCATTGGGTATCGCAGTCCAGATTGTTGATCAAGGGCGAGATTACACTGCGGGTACAGTAGCTCAGTGTCTGATTCCCTCTACATTCGACGATGAAATCGACCATATGCGGCTTTTCCGATGGAGTCCTTGCTACGGCAGCGTGGACCCAGGCGACTGCCTCGCAGATTTCTGCCAATTTGTGTCGCGCTCCAACAAGGCGGAAATGTATCTGCGTCTCATTTTCATTCAACGAGACCTTGACCTGATCTATCTCACTCATTGGGCGAGTTGATGGTCGCGAGATCAAGGGGATGAGCAATCTCAAAGTCGAAGATGTGTCTGGCCAAGTTTGTGTGATGTATTCCCCACAAGTCATGGCGCCGATATATTTGTCTCGTCCAACAAGCACTACAAGATCCCACAGAGAATCCCGCTCCTCCAGCTCTTCTCTGGTAAAATCTGCGATTGAAGTGGGTAGAAGAAGGCAAATTTCGAGTTGGGCTCGCGAAGGAAAATACGGTTCAGAGAGTAAGATTTCTTGAAAATCCGGTTCAGAGAGTTTCACTTCCCAGCCCGATGAACCAACGCTCTCATCATCGGAGGGATCATCGTCGGCCTCGTCATCTTCGGTAGAGTTGCCGTCGGGAGAGTCACTATCGGCAGAGTCAACGCTGTCATCGTTGATAGAGCCATTGCGAGAAGTTTCAGTATCGGCAGGGCCAACGCTGGCATCATCGGTAGGGTCATCACCGGTAGGGTCATCATCGGTAGGGTCATCATCGGTAGGGTCATCATCGGTAGGGTCATCGTCGGTGGTTTCATCGTCAGTTAGGTCATCGTCGGTAGAGTCATTGTCAGTCGGTCCATTGACGGTTCGTCCATTGACGGTTCGTCCATCGTCAGTTGGGTCATCGTCGGTAGGGTCCTTGTCGGTAGGGTCCTTGTCGGTAGGGTCCTTGTCGGTAGGGTCCTTGTCGGTAGGGTCCTTGTCGGTAGAGTTGTTACGAAGAGTGTTGTTATCGACAGGTTCAGCGCAGTCAACTTCGACAGGGCTACTGCGAGTAGCGTCATTGTTGGCAGGTTTATCGCTTTCATCATCAGTAAGTTCGTCGTCGGTAGAGGCATCGTGGATAGTATCATGGTCTTTGCCGTTGCCATGAGGATTCTCAGTTTCAAATGCGGAGAGCTCCCAATCGTCGTCTTCGGTCAAGGAGGGAGAAGCACCGTCGTCTTTATAGTCGAAAATGGCGCGGGAGAGCAGCTCGCACGGTACATAAGGCCGAAGGTTTAGCCGAATCCTTTGTTCTTTCTCTCTCTCCAGGACTAAGACCTCACGCCGCGGTGGCGTCTTGGGTAGTTTTTCAAGCAGAGGTTCCATGGTATGGCAGAATCGACGAACGGAAGGAAAATTAAGGTGGGCAGATAGCAGAATATGACTCGTGCGACCGAATACTGTTTAATCAAGCAGGAATGGCGACAATAAGGCTGAGCCATTTTGACCCCCACAACATGTCGGATTTTCCGTCCAATACCTGAAAGAGACGAGGGCAAAATCTGCAAGAATCCAAAAGGGAGAATCGTGGGGAGGGCAGAATTCTGGCAGCGAGGCAGATTTTGGGAGGGGGAAAGTAATCGACAAGGCGCGTCAGGGCGCCCCATGCTGCCGGCCAGCGAAAGGAGGGAGGTCCAATGAGTAGGTGTGCCATTGACGGATGGTGCTTCTGCAGGAAAGAAACAGTCGAAGAGACAAACGAACAAATAGGGCATTGCTGCGCTGGGCCAAGTGCGGCGCAAGTTCGAACGTGTCTTCGTAAGGCAGATAAAATATCCTTCTGCTCCCCATCACCAGCCTTGTCGCGCTCTAACAGTAACCCAACGTGCCACGTAGCATTGACTCGAATAGGAATATGTCTCTTTGGTCTCTGGGAGGTGCACAGCAGCAACCAGTCGCCGATCGAAGTTTTCTTTGCGTCCAAGAACCCCCATTGCGGGAGACCAGGGCACCGATTAGGCTGAAATCGACCAATCCCTCAAAGACAGCCCAGAGAGCAACAACGCTTCGATAAAGGGGATCAGGGGTACTGAGGATCCAGACACAAACCATATACCCGGGTACGTGGGAACAATTCATATCTCTCCACTCGCTAGCCCGCGTCGTCTTCACCCGTTGAAGCTTGTCTCGCGCGTCCGCTGGCGCCATGTTTTCAGATCCTCGGCTACCAAATACCTTGAACAACGTGTTTTTTTTTTCTATCCACATCACATCCCAATCCCAAATGCCATGGAGCGGGGTCTTCTCGATGTGGAGCAGAGGATTGTGCTCTCCCTGTCCCTCACGTCGAATCAAGACTTGGAGTAAAACCTCGATTCTCCATCCATGTATCTACCACAGACATTCTCGTACTGGGAAACCAAGAAAAAGGTCAACATGGTCCTCATCATCCCCGCACCTTGCGTCGTGCGCTGTGCCAGTCGGCCGGCAGTGCGGCGGCCCTCGTACTCTGTCTCACTCATTTGTTACCCCGCATGGATGTGTACCGACGGCAAGTATTAATATCACGAACGTGAGTTCATGGAGGCGAGTGAGGACAGGTCTTGGTCTGATACTCGGTTGCCGGAATATGTCTTGCTAAACAAAATCGATCTACTCGAGAAGAAAGAAGAAATTGGCCCCCCTGAGTCTGAGTCCTCGGTACAGCCCTCATTTCAACCATCATTTACAGATCGAATAACTACTTGTCGAGACGAAATAAGTGACAGTGGACAAAAATGATCTACGAACTCCGTGTCTACACCACGATCCCTGGCCGGTTGCCCAACCTGCTGGCGCGGTTCGAGAACCACACGCTCAGGATCTGGGAGAAGCACGGCATCAGGCAATTGGGTTTCTGGTACGTATTCCGCCTCTTTTCTGACTTGATAGTCCGGCTTTGGCTCTGGTCCCCTATCAACCCAATAGTCCTGGTGTACCTGACCATCGTGAAACTGATTCTTGTCGACAGGACAACCCTCGTCGGCCCCGACGCCAACGACCTCACGTACATGCTGGCTTGGGAGTCGCTGGCCGAGCGCGAACAGAAATGGGACGCCTTCTTCAACGACCCCGAGTGGATCGAGGCCCGGGCCAACAGCGAAAAGGACGGCGCCATCAACGCCAAAGTCGCCAGCAGTTTCTTGGTCCCGACAAAGTTTTCGGCCATTCAGTGATTTAATTTTCTCACACTTATTCGGATGTAGTGAGTGGATGTAGTGAGTGGTTTCGGGTGAGGTTGGATTGGATCAAGGAATGGATTCAGTGGTGTGGAGTGGAGAGACATGATGCGCTGAGACGTGTCGAGCTGTGCTCAAGGATGAGTCGAGGGTGGAGATGGGAGATGGTAGATAGAGATGACCAGAAAGCCGTCGAGATTTCCCTTTGACAGGACAACGAAGGAATGATTTAGTAAGGTATCTATGTAGGTAGTCATTCGCAGTACCCTGTCCCCCCCCCCTTTTTTTTCCCATATTGTGGCTTAATATTCCATAGTTATTCCATATTCTCGTTGTTTAGTGCCGTGGCGGACTACTAACCCGGCCTTTTCTCGTTTGATCGACTCGATACTGTCAGCAACTTCGTTCTTGTCACCATCGTTTCAGTAGGAACATACATACCGACGACCTTGATAGTGTCTCTTCGCAGCTCTCTCCCTCTCTTCCCCTTCCCCGGCCACACTGTCTCCAATGTGTGTGCAAGTGTGATTTCCCTGCCGTCTGCTCTCTCTCTCCCCTCTCCTCGTGTGTCTGTGCGTGTGTCTCGTCACAACTCATCATGCCGCACCGTCATCCTCTCCACCGCCTCCTTGACATCCCTCGGCCAGTACGTCTGAATGCCCCCACCCCCCCATTTCGTCGAGGGCAGATCCTGCCTCTTCTCCCAAATGGCCGAAGAGGGCAACTGATCTCGCATCTTCTCGCTGACTTCGTCCACTTTGTCCATGATCCGCATCAGATTCCCGCCCATGACACCCTTCATCTCCTCGGGCGTCCAGCTCGGGAGAGAAGCTCCGCGACCTGTTTGCCACGTATGTGTGTAAGTAGATGTTGAGAGTAATTACTTCGAAAAGGGGAGTGAGGGGACTTACGATGTTGGGGTACTTGCTGGCGTCTTCTAGGCCGTCGACCGAGATGTACATGCCGTCAAAGTCGGAGGCGATTCCCACGCGGTTCCTCCCGACGATGCCGGCGATGTGTTCAATGTGGTCGGCGACGCGGGAGACGTTGGCGCCCGGGTTCGGCCCGATGAACGGCGGGAAGAAGATGGACTGGATCACCCCGTCCTTCTGTCCCGGTCCGTCGCCGATCAGGCGCAGGATGTCGTCGGGGACGTTGCGCGGGTGGTCCCACAGGGCGCGGGCGCCCGCGTGCGTCCACACCACCGGCGCCTCGGACAGGGCGATCACTTGTCTCATGGTCGCGTCCGACGTGTGCGCCAGGTCGACCAGGATGCCCACGCGGTTCAGTTCGCGCACGAGCTCCTCGCCCAGCGGCGTCAGGGCATTGCCCTCGTGGACCGGGTCGATGGGCGTGCCCGGGCCGGCCGACGACGCGAACGCGCTGTGGCACGTGTGCGTCAGGGTCAAGTAGCGGACGCCCAGCTGGGCAAAGATGCGCAGCGCGCCGAGCGAGTTGCCCAGCACGTGGGTGCCCTCCATGCCGATGAGCGAGGCGATCTTGCCGGCGCGGAACGCGTCCCACACCTCGGCCGTCGACCGCGCGTACTGCAGGTCTGCCGGGTGTCGGGCGATCATGTTCTGGATGATGTCGAGCATCTCCATCGCGTCGCGCAGGTGGTTCGTCGGCGTGTTGAAGTCGCTCCCGGGGTCTTCCTCTGTCACGTCGTAGCACGGCGCCCACACCGTCCAGAACGCTCCGCCGAGTCGGCCCTGCCGCATGCGGGGGATGTCGACGTGGCCTGGGAACGAGCCGTTGAGTTTGGGGATGGCATCTAGTGGACGTCGATCTGCAAAGTAGGCAGGTAGGTCAGTACGGCTGTCGTCAGAGAGCAGAGCTTCTCAGAGCAACAACAGCGACGACAAGAAGACTTGAATGAAACCTCAATGAGGAATTAAATCCACTTACTCAAACTCCTGATAATCTGCGGCAGATCAATGTGCGTGTCCAACAACGGACTCTCCTCCATCAACTTGACAGCCTGCTCTAGGAAGCCATCCGCGCTGTTCTGTGCGAAGGAGGTGGCCAAGAGGGGAATGACCGAGAGGACTCTGGCGAGGTGCATCCTGAGTTTCGCTCTTCACCTTTTTTGCTATCTGCTGTACAGCAGAGACGAAGTGTTGTACCGAGTAGACCTGTGATCAAACCCTAAACATTCAGTTCACCACGAAGGAGAATCTGATACCGACCAAGTTTTGAGAACGTACGAGGTACGAGGTAGTAATCAAAACAAGGCCGCTCGTGTCCTCAATATACCGTCCGTATGTTGATCCGTCTGCAGTCACTCAATATATGGGTAGGTAGGTAAGATAGATAATTGTATCAATCGGCCACATATCCGTCGACTTTCGCTACGGCCTTTCTCTCCTCATCTCGTTTGACTGATCAACGATATTCTCATGGTAGAGGTGATCTGCGTTACAGCGCGGAGTAGGCCGTTGGCGCCTAGACACTCAACAGGGTGGCTAACAGAGTGGCCAATCGGTACTTGACACCCGTGCCGTTCAATGTCGAATCGCTGAATCCCTTGGGGAGGGCCGGTGGGTTCTCTTACCTACTTGTACGATACCGAGGACACATTGTACAAAGCACAGGGAATTGCTGAGTCACAAACGGACGAAATTTGGAGCGTCTTGTTGTTTTTGTGGTCAATTGATTTCACACATGTCACCTATCTCTGCTGTTGATCTCGTTGACAGGGTTTCTATCTGCATAGGCACTTGGTAGTTGTGAATGTATGATGGGGACTGATATCTCGCCGTAAGTTGGTCTTTGAGCTTCTTGGAGGTGGGTATTTCGGCTTTGAAGTATTTCATCCGTCGAGACCCGGGTTCGATGGCCGACCTTGTTCTACTGACGCCCCTGCCACATGAATCTCGCTACTCTCTAAAGCTCTGCACCACCTCATATGTGAATCTCCTTCTAGTCTTCTGGATCTGGTCTCGCGCAACTCGTCAACCCTGGACTTCCATTGAACCACGATGACCGCGAATCCGCCCATGTCGCTACATCTCGACAACTAAACAAGTCAGCCTCGTCTCTCCTGACTGGATCGCGTCAAATACTGACCAAGAGTGTCGTGGATGCCCTTTTCGTGCTGTTCCCTCTGCCGTTTACGCCTGAGGGTCGTGTACTGTCATCGTAAGTTAGCAAGTCTCGCCACCTTGTCACTTTGGGAAATATACCTCATGCAGATTCCTTGGCTCGTATTTGGCCGGGTTACTCTCCGACGTACAAGCCGGCATGACCTGTGATCTTACCATCAATGTACAGCCCCGGGCAAGGATTATGCACTTACCGGAACCGAGGCATCCATGTTGAAGCTGAAGAAGAAGGGAATCGAGTAGCGTTCGACCCCCGAAGCGTTGCGGACACGGTGGACAGTGGACACGAATGTGTCGTTGGAGATTCTCTGCAGAAAGTCTCCTACGTTGACAACAAAGGTGCCACGAATGGGCTGTGCTGGGACATAGATCCCGTTCTTGTTTAGGATTTCAAGGCCGCCTACCATGTCTTGGTTCAGGATGGTAAATGCTGTGGATTGTTAGTGTTACAGTAGGAAAAGGCTGGAGAAGCAGTTGCTGAAACATGTCATACTTTCAAAATCGCTGTGTGCACCGAGACCATCCAGGTCTGTCGAACCGGGTGCCCTGGGGGGATAATATTGCAGAATGATGGACACAAAAGGTGCCGTGACGATCCAGTCGAAATAATTTTCATCCGCACCAAGTCCCAGGGCAAATGTCCGCAACAACGCACGGGCGAGAGAGATCAGTGCAGCTTGGTATTGCAGCAGTGTGGTCTTGAACTCGGGGAGCTGTGCCGGCCACTGGTTGTGGATTCCAATGCATTGGTCGCGCTGTTCTGGGGTCAGGGACGGCGGCTGTGGGTCGTTTTCGGGTTCGTAACTGTAGAGAAATGATCCCTTCTTGACTGCAGAGAACGTTATTGGATATATTCACTTCATCGGAAGGGAGGATCTGGGGGGCGAGACATCTCACCTGCTTCGCCATCTGGGGTCTTGGTGTAGTGAATCTCATATCCCCGCAATGTCGGTGACTTGTATACGTCCTGCTCCTTCTTCACGGCAAGAGGCTGGGCGTGGTACTGGCGGGAAAGTTCAAACACCTTGTCAATCAGTTCTTGTGGTATTCCGTGGTTTTTGATATACATGAAGCCAACAGTCTTGCACACGTCGGCAATCTCCTTGGCTGCGAGCAGACGCTCTTCGTATTTGTCACTGAAGATGCGGCCGACGTCGACCAGCGGAATCTCGTCAAATGTTTCGACAGCCTCTTCGCCGCGGAGGATCTTTCGCCGATTGTTCATCGTCCCATCGCGGAAGAAGTATTCATACTCCGGTGCCACTTGTGAACTCGTCGTCACGGTGGTAGACATTGTGATTTGTTTCTTGACTGAGGCTGTGATCTTGTCGTTACTGAGTACTGTCTGAGTCGCTTGCTCTGGCTTGTACGAATATATGCACACCTTTCAATATAAGGAGTTGTGAGAGAGGGTATATCCGATATTCACCCTCGCGGCGGACATTCGCGGTTTGGGGACACAGCCGCTACAAGGTCAAAGGGGATGATAACGAGGGTGCTTGGTGCTGGCTGCCTGTTGAAGGATCTACAGTGGTTTTTCCAGAACAAGTTGTATGATTGACCTGAACAAGTGATTGGGAATCCTTTAAGCCCTGTATCACGTATCGAAAGATACACTTGGTTAGCATCTTGGTCAAGCCAGCGGCCACATCCGCGCGGGAGATAACCATCCGCAGGAGTGATGATAAGGTGGCTTCATACTAGATCCAAGGGTCCAATCATTGGTCTATGGCATATATGCCGCCTCAAGACATCGTCCTTGATCACCCACCTCTGGAAAGGCCGAGTCCGATTTCGAACGACAACAGGGGAATTGACATGGGTGGCTTAAGTGAAACGGAACACAGATGCTTGGCTATGATACTCCGCAAAGTATATAAGAGTCCACTCACA